AATCTGTATTTTTTGTTTTTCTGATTTTGATGGGAATTTACGAGACATTTGAACTTGAACATATCCTTATAACAGATTATAAAACAGAAATTAACGGACAAAATGTTTTTTTCTTTCTTTTTCTCGTTGGTTGTTATGAGGTAATAACAATTTTAAATTTATATCCATATTGTATATTCACGTTTATGTATATATGTATATATAAAAAACTATTATAATAGAAATCATTAAGATGGTTAAATTATAAGAAATAAGATAACCAAATGACATATGTTTGCTGAAAATAATATTATTAATTTAAGAATACTAAAACCGATTAATATAAAATTAATCATGATTTAAAATAATTATGTAATATTATAATATACATTATTTATTGTAAAGTTTTTACAGTCGAACCTGTATATTCTTAAGAGATTGAAATATTCGCTGACAGAAAAAAAATTTTTCTTGATTGTTAATAGGTTCAACACGCACAATCTTTAAAAAATCTTGGATTATTTTTCAATAATTTAAAAATATTAAGTAAACCCGAAAATAATTATAAGATATATAGGCTCTATTACTCCGGCCTGTGATGGGTTGGAGGTCTCTGTTGCTTCTTATCATGTGAGAATATTTCGAAAAATTAAATGAAATAAAAATGTATACCTAAACTCCTGGTAGGTTCCCACTATGTGGTGTCTTTCGCAAGACGATTTGCCTCGCACTCACACAGAAAGTGCTCCATGGTTTCGTCCTCCTCCAGGCATAAACGGCAGACCTCATCCGCCACAATGCCTATCCTTTTCAGGTGGACCCTCGTAAGACAGTGTTTAGTGAGAACCCCCACTAATATCCTCAAATTTGGACGACTGAGCATGGTCAAACCCCGTCCCCTCAGTCTCAGGGGAGGCACAAATTTCCTAGAGTGCGACAGGCCCAGGCAGCTATTCCAGTGGTCAACTCTAGCCTGCTCCTCCCATCCACTGAGGGTACGCAAGACCGTTGTCTTGGGTACCTCAAAGCATGGATTCGGCCCAATGAAAGGAGCCTTCGCTTCCTCCCTGGCAAGACCATCAGTTCTCTCCGTAGTGTCCTGGCACCCACGTCAAGATTAATTTGTTGTGCTTAGCCAGGACGCCAACTGTGTCAATGCATTCTTTCAGCAGCCTGGATCACACTACATCAGACAAGATTGTCCCAAGAACAGCCCTACTGTGCGATACAATAAATATCCTGCACCTTCTAATGTTCCTATTCAATGCTACTTACGTATTTTATTCTCATATTGCATTCGAATGATATTGCTTGAGCTTGGAGGTCATTTGTCCTGCGGTTAGATTGCTCCTCATGCCGCTGACTCGGTTGACTATAATGCCACACACTCGGTTAATTATTCATTTCTTTATGAATTAGGCTTTTCTGTACATTTAAATCTATGTATATGTTTAATTCAAATTTCATTAGATGAAACAGATTCTCGTTTACTACTCGTAAATATGATTGTGGTTCAATTTTATTCGACAAAATTAACGTATAATTAATTGCAGCTTTATTCTCGTTCTGGAAAAATAGAAATTATGTCATTGCACGAAAATTTTCTTATGCCAATTAAATTTGAATTTTATAAGATCTAGAGCTATATGCTTTTTAAATTTGTATATGTATATATACAAATATATTTTTATGAGAGCATTCATACCACAATTAAATCACCTTGAATATAAAAAAGTTCATTGACTTCAATTGGAATTCACATGTATTTGTTACGTAAGAATTGAATTATAAAATACAAATATCGCCGATTTGACCTTATATCCTTAAACGATGAAAACAAACAAACAAAACCAAATCTACATTACTATTTTTAGCTAACAAAACTTGTTCTATATAGAGTTGGTTTTCTCATTTTGTGCCATCATCTTAAACTAATGAGAAGCGCGTTTCAATTTTGGAAAACAAAAAAAAACGAAAGTGGCTAGATTATGTAAATTTCCGTGATTTTATTTTCGCATTTAATTTTTGTTGCTCTCCATTATAAATCTTAAAATTTTTTAAGAATTCATGATGTCCTAATTAAAAGAATAAAAAACAATCGTCCTTTTTTTCTACAAATTATTTATGTAGAATTTTTTAAATTCACGAATTTTTTTTCTTTATATATTTAAAAACCGGTATTTTTTTATTAGGTTTTTGTCATCTTTTATTATACAATTTTTATTTAATTTTTTTTTTTGCAAAACAACAAAATCAATTTTAATAAATATTAATAAATGATTCATTCATAAAAAATATATCGCAACAATTTGTGTATTTGATTATTTCTTTTGAGATACGTGAAACAAATCATGATGGTTATTATCTTCCATTTTGTTAATAAATAATAAATTATTTTCTTTTATATATAAAATATATATAAAATATTATTTAATAAAAAGAGAATTTTCGATCATAAATAACAGTATAAAATCATTTTATAAATATTATTCGAATCAAAAGATTAAAACTTTTTTTAAGGTTAGGTGTAAAAAAAATTTACCGTGAACCCGAAATTGCATTTCATAAATCTCTTTTGATTTGGTGTGGTAAATATAGGCACAAAATAATATTTTTGTATTTGTATTTGTATTTTACATAAGATATTATGTATGTATATGTAGCTAAAAATGTTATAAATTTTATGATTAATAAATTTTTTAAAATCTAAACGAATCTTATATCTGGATACTTACATACGCAATCTATTAGTTACAGTGACCTGGAGTATATTATGTATTGGAGATTATACAGTAAATATGTCATTTTGAACACCTACCGTTGACACTGATGCATACGCATTCATTATATGCATACTTATATGGATTGCGTTTTTCAAATTATATAATTTAAAAAATCTGCACATAACCAACCCAACCGCAATATGTATTGTCTAGTTTAGCGGAAGTCTGACAGAAGATTGTAATAATGCCTTCTGAACACTTCTTTCTAACTATTAGCAATAGGATTTTAGTTGACATACCTAGAAAATGTAAATATGGCTCTATCCATATTGTGGTCGGTTGTATGTTGAACACATCAGATTTTTTGTTGTTTTGGTTTCTAAAATTGTGCAAAATTCTTCAAAATAAAATTTTCTTTTCATTAGTTAATTAACAAGAAATTAAACTTACCGAATATATTTTACTATACAATTATAATGATAAAATTAAAACTACATTCAATGTTAATTTCATATTCTAAATACTCAATTATATCAGGAGGAATAATATTACGGTTTGAACATTATTTACTAACTAAATTATGCTTAAGAATTTTGTGAGAATTCATAATTTCAATACAGCTTTGCATGAAATTAATCGTTTGTCATATTAAAAGGGAATTAAGGGTAAGTATTTTGGCAATAAATGTATTTACAGTAAATCTCGCCACAGTAAATAACTTGACAGCAAATGTTTCGACAGTAAATATCTTGGCAGTAAATGACTTGACAGTAAATTTTTCGACAAAAAATGTCTCAACAATAAATGCCTTGACAGTAAATGTTTCGACAGTAAATGTCTTGGTAGTAAATGCCTTGACAGTAAATGTCTTGACAGTAAGTCCTTCGAAAATAAATGCTTTGACAGAAAGAGTCTTAGTAGTAAATATCTCAACAGTAAATGTCTTGACAGTTATCAATTTATCAAAAAAACAAATTTCGAAAATTCTAGTTCTCACAATAGTTAAGTGCTTTTGATTGACATAAATGGCTAAAAAATTCTTTATCAATTAAATTATTTTATGTTTTAAAACCAATTTCATTTAATAAAATATATGAAGTCATAACAATTAAATTTTATATTTTTGCTTTTTAATATGCTTAAAAATCTTTTAAATTAAATTTGAAAATTTTATTTTGTAAGTATACAGGTTTTAATTTTAAATATCACAAAATAAATTTTCAACAAATTTATAAAATATATTGGAATATTTTTATCAAATAATATCATAAAGTATACTGATATTAATCTTGAAATTTAAGATATTTAATAGTTTAAATAAAGTTAGTTGGAAATATAAAATAAATTGTAAGTATAGGTTCGTAAATTTCGGTTTATTAACTAAATTAACCGGATACGAAACAATACAGATTGTTTAAATTTCAATTCAAATAAATTAATTAAATTTTTATTGAATACAATTTTATTTTTGTTTTTTCGTTTTTTGTTATTCCGTTGAGAAACCATTTTATATTTTTTAAAATCAAAAGTTCAATAGCACAGACACTTTATTATTTCATTGTCTTCATGTATTAAAAGTCTTTGTTATTCTTTTTTCAGAATATCAGGTGTGAAATACGCTGAAATTCATATTAAAGAATCAGCGTAAATATTTTTGGTTTTTTACCTTCTCACACAGTGCTTATTGTAAATATTACTAGTATTGCAATACAGTTAGCTTTTGTTACTGTAAAAGATTAATTTGTGCAACGACACTATGATTTTCTGTAGCATGGTCTATTTAAAATTTTAAACTTAAACATAAAATTGTAATAATATATTATATTCGCAAATCTTTTCATGTATGTTAGTACTCAGTTATTGTTTCTACATGAATTGTCAATTAGTAAGTGATTGAATTAAAAATTATAAGAATTCGTGTGGAACAATTACTTCCCATTAATTCTAAAATTTCCTTTCCGATTTTTGTACGACCTTGATAATCCAATTATCGTTAGCTGCTTTTAATGTAACAATATAGCAAAATAGCTCATAAAAAACACCAATTCTTTTTCTTTAAATCTTTTGTGTCGAAGGAAGCTGCGCTGTGTGAAATTTCGGAAAATAAAACAAAGAAGTAGAAAAGAAAAAGTCGCAAAATCGCATATATTTTTTTTTCTTTCTTATAACAAAAATTTATTATTCTATTGTGGTTAAGAAATAAAAATTTCAAAAATTAAATATTATATAATATTATAAATTTAAAACCAATGAAATGAAAATAAAAAAAACTTATTATTAAAATTATTTTAATTTCAGATTTTACAACCGCACAAACAAAAAAATCATCACGAATAACGAGTACCCGAAGTTTTGGAATAAATACAAAATCATTAGGTACAGATTTTGATTGTCCAGAAGAATTTGGTTATTATCCACATCCATCTGATTGCACACAATATTATGTATGCGTTTTTGGTGGAGCATTATTAGAAAGTTGTACTGGTGGTTTAATGTATAGTCATGAACTTCAAACGTGTGATTGGCCACGAAATGTTGGTTGTGAAGTCACTGATATAAATAAAAGACTGCCATCACAACAATCAAAATCATCATTGCAATCATCGCAACCAAAAGTACAAGTGAATGTACCACATCGTGTACGTTTTGGAACAATACAAAGTTCAACACAACAGCCACAACAATCAAAACCGACAATTGCTCAACAATATTATAAATCAACATCACAACCACAACAACATCAAACACAACAACACCAAACACAACACCAAATACAACAACATCAAACACAACAACATCAAACACAACAACATCAATCACAACAGCAACATTCACAAAAACAACAACATTCACATATTACATTACCACCACCACCAGAATATGCAAAAGTTGCACCAAATCCAGTTATTACATCAAGAGGTCAACCAAAACCATTTACTGATATACACGAAGAAGATATTGCCAAAGTAAGTATTGTGTTCAATTGATTTCTTAGAAATGTTTTCTCTAATACGGATTTTGTGATTTTAATTAGCTCTATGCCGAAGCTCACGATACTTTACCACCAGCCGAAGAAGAAGAAAATGATCGTCAACAGAGAGTGTATCGTGGTCAACCAAGTACTGTTGGACAAGTTCAAAGAGATCGTGATGGCATCATTCATCAAGCGAATGTTAATGCAATTCCAAATCACGGGAAAGTTGGATCATATGCTTTTAATCAATACAGGTATTAAATGTTCATTGTGTAGGTTGAATATTCAGATTCATTTCTTCTTTTATAATGAATGTAAAATAATATTCATTACGTAACTTCATTTAAAATTTCACTAAAATATTTGCGTTTAAAAAAACAACAAAATTTTTCTTACTTACTTTGACAGAAAATCACTTAGTACTAAAAAGAAATATATTACTAAACGTATTAAACGTGACATACTTACTACTTTAACTACATTAACTACTTTACCAATTTCAACTACAACAACTGAAATGACACCTAATTTAACTACCACTAAAGTATCTGATGAAATTTCTTCTAACACCGAACAACAAATTGAAAATCAAACTAAAGAATTGAATTCTAGTCAAGTGATTACAAAAAATTTATCAGATTTTTGGACATTTAATAATGATCGCGGTGATATCAATCTAGACAATATTGATGATAGTGATGAATTTAATCGATATCCAAGACAGTTACGACTTCCTGCTGCAATAAAAACTCGTTCTGGAAGTTGGTTATTTGGTGGTGTGGCGAATTCAGCTAGCTATAGATCAATAAATTCAAAGCCGATGTCACAACACTCATACGGAAGGAATAATTTTGATAATTTCCATCAATTTCTATCTCCACCTGGAATGTCTTCATCGAGTCAATATTTCAAACAAAATAATGGAGCTCAAATAAAATATAATCATCATTCAAATCAAAAGCAACCAAATTCACATGATAACTTTCAAAAACAGTTATTAGATCAATTCAGTGGCAACAATAACAATGATTATACATCCAAAAATTATTTCCGAACTTCCACACCTTCTACTCCACTATATTCGAGACCATCAAATATTATTCCATTATTGCTAGAGACATTTCGTACTACAGCTGATGATGTTGCTAAAGATTCATCAAAAAAATCCAATCACACTCCAAAACAGACTGGTTTGGAGCCAGATAATTTTTCATATTTTCATTTAGATAATGAAAACTATCCGTTAGGAAGTTTCCTTTTTGGCACTTTACCACATATTATCAATAACAATAATAATAATAATGACGCAAAACTAAAATATTCAAATAATATCAAAGAGCTTGATAATTTACCGGCAACTGCAAAACCTCATTTTAATGCATTTAGCACGGTTGGTGGATTTTATAACAACAATAATTTTTATAAATATGAAAATATTGATCCGAGTTCTCCAGAATATCAATTAAATAAACAAAAATTTGAATATAATCCAACTGTTACCACTGAGCCTAATTACTTTTTATACAACATATTACAAAACCAACGTATTAAAAATTATAATGTTCTTACCACAACAACAATTAAACCTTTCAAATTAAATCCATTAAATAATTTTCATATTATAAGTGGACCTGGTTATCAAAATGTGCAACATCAAAAACAACATTACAGTCAAATATCAGAGGATCACTTAAGTCCATTACATTTACCAGTTCCAGGCAATTTTAAAACATTCAATATAAATAACATTTCTAATACAAACAGTTTTCAACCATCAACAACTGAATCTTTTGAAAATACTGAAACAACAAAATATGGTGGTAGTAAAAAAAGTTCAACAAATCGTTTTATACCCATAACATTTGCTAATCAAGTTAATGATGGAAAAATTTTCTCAACTGTTAATGTAACAACATACATAAACAATACAAATTTACAAAATTTTCCCAGCAATGAAAATTATCCATTTAATAGAGTTAATTTTGGTAAACAACCAACCAAAATCAGTGTTAATTCTCCAGTATTAGATTATGGTAATAAACGAATTAAGGGTTACGAAGATTTTAACAAAGGAAATTCACAGAAAACATCATCTAAATTTTCATATGATAACAATAAGAATATTATGAAAATAAATTATAATTCATCATCATCTTTACCAATATCACCATTAGAATCATATCATTCATCAACAATTGTTAGTAATTATGATTATTATTATGATGAAGATGATTATGATGACGATGATGATTATGAAGTAAATTTACCATCAGAAAAACCATTTTATATGCCAAATTCAGAAACAATGGCCCCAAGACCAATTAATACAACACGATCACCAATTTTAACATATAATCGTAATCAATACCAAAATAATTTACAAATAACAACACATAGACCAGTATTTTCATCACATTATAATAGCGCAACAAATGCTTACGATAAAAGTCCAATTCCATCGTTTATCAATTTTCCTCCAGATGTTTTTCAAAATATTCGACCATTGAATTCAACCACAACAACATCAAGTGGAATCATATCAACAATATCTTCTATTAAACATAGTACTGATCGTACAGATACTACAACTATTGAACAACACTTTGACAATAATACAAAACCTATATTACATCATATTAGTACAACTCCATTAACAAATACTAAAAAATTAGTAATAAAGCCATGGACAACAACATCAAGTACAACTACATCAACAGTTGCTACAACGACAATAATGAGAACACCAATTTTAAATAATACATTTGATAGTACAAAAACAATAAATAGACAATTACCAAAGATTCCATTACAACAGGCCCAACAATCTACTATAAATAGTACTCTAAGTGAACAAAGTAAGAATAGTGTACAAGTGACAAATAAACCAAATAGACCATACCGTGGTAATTCTAAATGGAAGAATTCTAAAACAACAATTAAATCTGAACGCCGTAGAAAGAAACCAGTTAATGAACAACAAATTGAAAATGGGACAAAAATAACAAATTCAAATGCGAACAGGTAAATTAAGAAATGACTATTAAAGACAAAACAGAAAAAAACTAAATGTTTATAGGTTGCCAATGTAAATATTTTAAATAACAATTAAAAACAGAATTAGACATTTTGATGGACAAAACAAATTTTGACTCAACATACTACAATTTAAACCTACAATATTATGTAACTATGCACATACAATATACTTAAAAACTTGAACTCAACTAAATACAAAAATTATTTTTATGGTATGACAACATTTGACTTACTTATTTCTTAACACATTTCGTCATTATTTTTAACAAATTATTTTCTTAAGGAATTTTGAACTGCATTTGCTTAGACTTATTATTAATAAACCATATAACCGTATATAAACTTACATTAAATGTCTTCTTTGCAATAAAGTATCTTAAACAATCCAGTGCCAAGTTTGTAGAGGATTTTCTGGCCGTGACGTGCAGCAGTCTAAGAAACATTGAAAATTCGCCTTTATATTTCATTTATTTCCATACAAAAATAAATTATATTGAAAATGTAAAAAACAGATTCAATATAATTAAAATAGATTTCAGAAGAAGAACACGATCTTTATTTAATTGGCTACTCCACATCTTAGTAAACGAAAAATACCGAGATTGTACTTTCCGGTCGTCATATAGTCGAATGCAAAACATGTTCGTTTTCTTGGCGCTTTTTAATAGTATTACTTGTTAGAATTTAAATGAATTGAAACACAAATTATCTTGTATAATAACATTTACGACCAACAACAGATAATTGTTGCTAACTGTACTTATTGATGTAAATATTTATCTTGTATATGTACATACTATGTATTTGCTTCATTTTTCATTAAAATTCATTGTATTATAATTTTATTTATTCTATATTTTTACTTTTATTTATTTCTATGTAAACTTTGTATCTAATTGTTTTTTTCAAAATTTATTTATAACTTAATTTTTTTTTAATTTTCTATATTTATTAATTTTAATATCGTTAATCTATTAATTAAAATCATTTGGTGACTATATACTATACCGGCCTATATGTAATCTAATATATAGGGTCGAAACTAATTCACCATCATCACCACCATCACAAGCAGCAAATATATTCATTCAACAAAGACCATCAATTGTTGAACAAAATTCACGTATTAATAATAACAATAATAATAATAATAACTATTATAATGTATCTAAACAACAACAACAACAACATCAACAACAAAATTATGATCCAACACCATTTGATTCATATTATTCAATATATGATGATGATGTTGATATATATAGAGATGCAGAATATCAACAAAAACAACAACAACAACAACAACAACAACAACAGCAACAGCAACAACAACAACAACAGCATCATCATAGAACAAATAAAGTTCAATCATCAACATTTCGACCAGAAATTATAACATCATCAACAGTACCACCGCCTATTCCAAAAATTCCAATCCGTGAAACATATGTTAATACAAAACAGGAAACACAATATGATCCACCATCTTTGGTTTATACATCTGACTATGATGATACACTTATCTCCCAAGTAAGTAAAATGATGACACTTTAAAAAAATCATCTTCTTTTTCTATTTATGTAATTGTGTATAAAATATTTTACGCTTATAATATTATGTATAACATGAATTTTAACACATGATTACTTAACATAATCTGATCTGAACGCGATAGATATTCGCCCCCTTATATGGTATTTGGCATGTGAAAGTTTTTTATTTTTTTAATATTGTGTTCGATTGACATTGTGCACATAAATTTTTTTTTCTTTAGTTATGTACATAACGGGTGTTTGTTTTTTCGCTCTTTATTTTTCCATGTTTTTATTTTTGACACTTCATGCTTGAGGTGTTACGTTTGCGAATACGAAATCAATTGAGTTTTGTAGTTTTGACACCGATTTTAACATTTAACAATTAATGTTTATCAACTTGTCAATATTAAGTGTTTAAACCTGCCACTTGACTGCCGAAATCATTAATTTAAGTTGTTGTAGATTATTTATCAACATTATTGAGTGCGCAATAGATAATGTTTCGGCGAAAATTCAAAGTTTGAACCTTTGATGAGAACGAATACTTTATCGATTCCAACAAAAACTAAGATTTTCTATGTTATTCTGAAAATTTTAAAACAAACAATTTGTAAATCACCTTGTATATTATGTACAAGTATCTTTTTAATATCCACATATTAAAATTATGTCAAATATAAATAGCAAGTAAATTAATTTGTTAGCTGAAAAACTAAAGAAGTTGTGTGGATTTTTAGTTTTATATGTAGAGCAATTTTAAATTGTAATTATTAATATTAGGTTATAATAATGCCGTGGAATTACCAGACGGACATGACACTTAAAATACTTATTAAAATACCTACACAAAATTTGATAGTAATAAAAATAATGAGTACTTGAAACTTCTCCCATGAGAAAATATTTAAAATAATAATTTTTAATTATTATTTATAGATTGCTTGCCAAAAAAAATTAATTATTTTAAGTTTGATATTATGTGAGAAAATAAAATTGTTTGAGATCGTTTATTTGATTCAGAAGAGTTTTTCAAATATTTCCATAAGGGTGCCTTTAAATGTTTAAACTTTCTGCAGCGAATCATAAAAATTTAAATTGAGGGCAAAAAATATGACGTTCAATAATTTTATTTACTACTGCTGTCATAATAAAAATGATAATGTTATAAGTGTAACCGGATGTATAAATATTTTAATAATTAAATAAATTATTTGTTTTTGAAATACATAATTAATAAAATAACATTTTCAGATTGAACAGGATTCCGATTATAATCAGCCGACAAGAGGTCCTCCAAGGTAAGATATTTTAATTTAATAAAAATTTTTAAGTACTTATATAATACTATAAGCATACATATACATGATATAATATTGTTAGTCTAATAATGAATTATTTTTGATGTATTTGCTTGGTAAATATATATAACAATTAGGTATTAAAAAAATTAAAAGAATAAATTAAAGACTCTTCACGAGTTATTAAAATACGAATTAAGATATACATATTAAATAATATCAAATTATTTTAAAAAGAAAAGAAAAATTTTGTTTATTAAAATCTACTATTTTTTTCAATCAAGTGAAAATTTTAATAAGAAATAATTTTGAAAATTTTTTTGTTCTTGTGATGAGTCCAACACAGTATAATAAAAAAATCGTATATTTAATTGATATTTGTAAATTATTAGTACTTTTTTTTTGTTAATTATTACAAAATACACTAATACCTATACATATATTTTATAAATTTTATAAATATAATGTGTACAATTAAAATTATACTGATTATATACTGAACATTTACGTTTATAAATTACGTAGGTACACAAAAGTTAGATTAACATAAATTAGTTTCATTTCATGACATAAAAATGTTAGTGTTTTTAAATGACTTAATGAATTCTATATTTCAATAATTATTTGTAGTAAAATATTTAATTATTTAAAGAAAGAAATAATTTTACTGTTGTGAGAAAGTGTTAGAATTAACACGATCAAAAAATTTAATTGCTAGAATATTAAAGATGGTAACGAATTCTATTTTCAATTTGAATTAAAACTATTTATTAATTTTACAATTTTCTGTCAACGTCAAATTGTATGAATGTTTTTCCTGTCAAATTTAATCGAATATAGAATAAGTCATTTTTTAACACTAACACACATTAATTTTATTAATAAATAATAAAATACATACATTTTTTTTTACAAAAAAAAAATAATAAAGTTAATTATTACAATTTTAATTAAATTTATTCAAAATAAAAATTATATTTATACATAAATAAAAATAAATCCTTAAAAACACTTTCATATCAATCATCATTCAATATTATACAAAATACACAAATACACAAACACAACATACATATTTTATGTAAAACAAAAATCATCATCAACAACGAAATAAAATTATTTATCGGAAAAAAATAATATGAAACATACATGTCAATTATAATTATTACATACATACATACATACATACATAGAGATGAGAATAGAAAAACAGAAATGTTTATAAATACATCTGAAATGAGAGGAATTCACGATAATAATTCACAATATAATTTAATGCCATATTCTTCGACTTTTCAACCTCCAACAAGTATTACATATCAAAATCAATTTCAAAATTCACAAATATCACATAATCAACATCATCAACAAGATCAACAAAATTCACAACAATTAATTGTTTCATTATTAAATAATGATTCATATTATGATGATAATATAAATTTTGATAGCAATTATAATAATGAAAATACAAATAATAATAACAATAATAATTTTAGTAATAACAATAATAATAATAGTAATATTAATAATGATAATAATAGAGAAGAATATGATGAAGATGAAATTAAAAGAACAAAAATACCTTCAATATTATCAACAATAAATAATCCCAATACATCATCATCATCATCATCTTTGTCAGAATCCGATGAAGAAAAATATTTAATTTTAGCAAATATATTTAATGAACAATCAACATTAAAAACAAGTACAACAACAATTAAAACAACACAATCAACAACAACAAAAACAACAACAACAACATTAAAACCAACAATAAAAAAATTAATAAATACATCACAAAATACGGATTCATTATTAAATACAACACAAAAAACAACAATAATGCTATCAAATATAACAAATCCATCATTAATAGGAACACAAATAACACAAAAAACACAAAACACTGATTTATCATTGTCATCATTAAAAACAACATTAAATAATAGTAATTATAATAATAATAATAACAGTATTAATACACAATATATTCAACAAACACAACAACATCAACAACAACTACAAGAGCAAATACCTAATACAAGGTACTACAAAAATCTTAATATAGAAATATAGAAAGCATAATATTATTATCGAAATTATCATCTTACCATAAATTATTTACAATAAAAATAATAAAATACAAAAATCAATATAAGATTAAGTATAAAAGAAGAAATATTAAATTTATTAATCACTCGCGAAATTGTGCTTTATTTACCTATTATATAATAGCTGCTATATAAACCACACTCATTTATTTATTCACATTATAACAAAATATATTTGCATAATATATTAAAAAAAAAAGTATTTAAATCTATTCTTAATTAAAATCAAATATCAAAAGCTCATAATCATTGTTTTTTCTTATTTCAAATTTTTTTTTAAGAACAAACTTAATTAAATTCATTATGTATAATAGAAATGATATTAATACAGAAAAAATTACATCAAAAAATTTATAAAAAAAAAAACAAATAAGCAAACAAAACGCCAATAAAAAGTTTTCATATAGCAAACGGCGACATTTTTTAATTTAGAGCAAATTTTATTCTATAAGTTTTTTTTAACACTTTAAATTTTATTTTCGCTTCAATACCGCATTTTCCGCAACAAACAAAGAATTAATATATAAATACATACATAATTTTAATATTTACATATATAATTTTTTTTATAATTTATGCTTGTATATTAAAATTATAGCATATAATTTTGCCTCCATTTTTCCTCAGCCCCCACCCCTTATATTATATATTTTGGTATTTTTTTTATAAAATTGCAAAAAATTCGCATCATGTTATCATTATTATTATATGCATAACGTTATAACGGTACATATGAATTCAAAAATTACATTTTATTTTTGTATATATATAAAATTCATTGAAAACTAGAAAAAACAAACAAAAATATATATGGCTGGTTATACATACATAAAAATGTTATTATGATAAAAAAAATTTGGCATTAGGTTTATAATAATAAACCTAATGTCTAACGCGGTAACAACTAATAACATGTTACCGCGTGTTCCACAAAATTACAACCAAACTCATCAAAATTAATTATACTAATTTATAAAACTGGTTGCACCGTTAAAAAAATATTTTACACCCTTCTTCTTTGTTATATAAAGAAGCTTTTTTCGATATATAGTTTTATCAAATTATATTATGCCATACAAATTTAGAATAGAAAAGAGCTATAACTTCCTCTATAAAAGAAATATAAGAAATAACTTCCTTGTAATACAAGAACTTCCTTGTCCATAAAAAATTCAAAGACCATTTGTTGTATCTAATACAATTGTGTATATAATTTATAGTGATACATAGAAGACAATTTTTGTAATTACACAGGTGAACTGCTTTTTTTGAGTGACGCTGTTCTAAATTAAAAAAACTTAATACTTACTAGCGCGCCTCAAATTGCCGTCAGAGATACGAGAATTTTTTTACTATTATTGAAACTGTTAATATAGGGTAGCAACAAAACACGTTTTTAATATTTCAAATACAGTTTTATTAACAAAACATATGCTACCTTCAAAGGTTGATAAGAGAATAAAGAGAAGAAATTTTAATACATTAATTATAATAACAGAAAATACCTGCCGTTCAATATGTAAATTTTTTTGATTACATTTTTAGGTAATTCAAATTCAATCTAAACAAAATCAAATCCAACCATAATATAAAAGGGAATTGCCATTATTTACGAGAAATCTTTAACAGAAACAATTGATTTTTTATTTTTCGAAAATTAATTTAATAACTAGAATTTAAGTATTAAAGATTTTCAATGGGTAATTATTTATAAATTTGAAGAGAATTTTGTTAGTCGAGTTTATAAATCACAATCAGGTTTTTATTATTGATTTGTGCGTGATTGAAGAAAATTCATGTAAATTATTAATTTTATTGTTGATTAATACTAAGAAGTTGTTTAGAATTTTTATTTATAAACTTTAGGATTATAACAATTTCAATTGTGAGTTTTGATGGGTTTCCAATATGTTTTCTTTAACCATCACTCATCCATATATATTTTTTTGTTCGTACATTTTTTTTATTATTATTTTTTTTTATTTATTTATTTTTTTTTGCAATTAATATAAATTTATTTTATAAATATATACAATTTTTTTTTTGTGGTATCTTGTAAATTATTTTGGTAATCAAACACACTTTTTAACATTTTTATTCATTTTGTATGAAAAATAACTCATTTTATTTTCACAATTATTTACTTTAAAAATAAATATACAAAATACAAAACAGAAAAAAAAAACTCAAATCATCATAAAATAATTCATCAAAATTTTTTATTTTTTATTTTCAAATACAAATTCATTTAAATGAACAGATATTGTAATTTTAATTATTAATATTAATTATTTTATGTTTCTACAATTTGTTTGACTCATATTTCTTACATAATGTGGCTATCTTTTTGAGAATACAGGGCAAAGTTTAATACATGTGCGTATATTTAAAGTTCCTGGAAAATTATTTTCTCAAAATTTTAACAAAAAATGTATTTTTAATATGTTAGTCAATATGAAGCTGCTTATGAGTCATTGAAAGAATATTTTTTTGTTGTTTTGATCCTGTAAGTGAGAAATATCTTACTCACTCATTGGAAAACCCATGAACACTGTTAATGGAAAGTAATTCCTATTGTCATCTAGCGAATTAATATTTTAATATAAATTTTAGTCCAAAGACTAAAATTACAGCAAAGTGATTCCAAATTATTGGTTCATTTGGCTAAGTCTGGCTTATAAATTTAGAAAATTCCCCTATGGTATAATTTAAAGAGTATATACTGTTTGTGTTATACTGATAAACTGTAGGTGTAAAATTAAATTGTGAATATATTATTAAAATGTCCATATAAATTAATTTCCTTTAATTAAATGTAAATTTCCTTATGAACTTGAAATTTTGCTTTCGGCTTTGAAAGTACAATATTGATTTGAAATTTCAAAATATGTGTATAATTTAAAAATATTAAAAAATAATAATGATTTTTATTTTTACATATACATATATACAAATATTAATATTTTAATATATGGAGGCCCTTAAAAGGATAATATGTATAAAATTAGTTGAATTTAATTAGAATTTATTTGCCATTTTTAAAATTGGTTTTAAAAATATTGCAATTCCAAACCAAAAATTAAACTGTTATACACTTTTTTTTTCTTTAGAAATTCGAAATTGATAATTTTATAAAATTAGTTTTATGTTCCTACAGGTTATTTAAATTTTTTATTTAAATTTTATTAAAGCAATATAAAAAAATTGAAAATGAGACCAAAAAGTGAAACAATTTGATTCACGTGTAATACAACAGTACCGACTTGTTACAGAAATATCTTATTTGAATTTTACTAATACAAAATTATAATAGACCACATCAAGTAAATTTAAACTTCTTTCAGAAGCAGGTATTATAGAACTGCTTTGTAAATTCTTAAATAAAAGTACAATGAAAGAATATAGCATTTATATTAGTATAACAATAATTATGTTGTTTAAGTTACTAAAAATCGATACTTCCTCTCATTTGAAAAAAAAAAAAACAGAAAACAACAATTCTAAAAACAAAAGAAAAACAAAAAGTTCCTAACACAATCGTTCTATCGTTTTTAATAATCTCGTGGAATACACACACAACAATACACACAATTCATCCAACTTACAAAAAAAATTTTTTTTTTTTGGGACGATATTTTTAAAATTTATTCTAAAAAGAAGTTTTATTTTTTTCCGGGATTTATTCTCCAACAGATCAAGAATATCAGATGATGATATTGCCAACAAAACATCCAAACCTAAAACTATATCATTAACAACAAGTTCGGGTTCTAATAACAAGAAAAATGATAAATATTTGTATCGTCATTCCCTTTTGGAATCATCCTCTATTCCAATACCAGATATTCAAATTGATCCATTTTCCTCAAATCCTTCTCTTCCCAATCATATACGAAATGTTGAAATACTTGAAACTGATAACAATCCAATAAACGACAGACAAACAAATAATTTATCTCAATACGACTACATAACACAACCTAGAATTATAACATTACCACCTAACAAAAATTACGTTAGAAATAACATTAACCCAAATGCTAAAGCTTTCTCTGATAATAAAAAAGAAAAAAAATCCAGTATATCATTAAAAAATAGTGAACGTGAAATTGACGATGATGAACCTAGAAAACGAATTTTAAACTTTGTTGTTTCTGATGCTGAACCCCAAGCTTTTAAACCAAGTCCAAATAGATTGGCTCATTCGTCTTCGTCATCAACTGAAAGTGCTATAAAAAGTACAACGCGGTCTCAACCATTTATTTCTACAGCATCAGCCTTTTCAACAACATTGAAAGTAACATCTCCTGAAAATAAAAACGATATTATCACAAAAATCCCAAAACAAACAACACAATCTACGTTACCATTAAGGGGACCTACACAAAATAGCAGAGAGCGTGAATCTTATTTAGAACACAAAACTCATACATATAGTTTGAGTTCAAGTTTGACTGGGTTTAATTTAAGATCACAATCTGATGAATCAACTAAAAATTATGGAGAGGAAGTTCCTTTGTATGTAAGACCACCCCAAAGACATGCACCGATGAAAGATCAAATTATTGATCCAACAACATATGCTCCACCACGTTCATGGAAATTTAACAGAACAAATAATTTAAGTTATTCAGATAATGGAACAAACACCCTTGATGATAACCAAGAGTCTGATACATTTTTAGCTCCATCTATTAAAGAGGAACCTTCAAATGCAAGTGATGTTGGAATAAATAAATTCCAAAATGAAAATACAAGCAATTCTTTTGCTAACCAAAAGCTTGTTTCAAATGAAAATATATCAATAACAGAACGTCCACCTTATCAAACTTATACAACGAGAGCTTTAATATTCAAAGATAATTTGAGTAAATCATACGAAACAACAGGGCCAACAAAGTTTGTGTCGCCGTATAAAAGTTTAGAAACAATTTTGCAAGACAAAGAAGAAAAATTCAAATTTACCACTAACAAGCCTCAATTAAAAAATAGAATTACATCTCCCACCCCATTTTTGTACAATCCACAGAAAATAAATAAAAATGTTTTTGCATTAAACAATACGGCTCGGATTTCTAGTAATTATACTCCAAAATCCCCCAGCGTTTATTATACAACACCTTTTCAAAAAATTATAACTGCTGCTTTGTCTTCATCTCCTTCTATATCATCAACTCCATATAATTTGGCAACAATCAGACATCCTAGTTCAACAACTATCTCAACTACTACTCCTCCAACGTCTTCCACAACACCAATTAGTACAACCCAAAAAACTACAGCTCAGACCATTCCAACAACTACATCGACAACCACATCAACAACCACAACTACAACCACCACAACTACTACAACTACAACAACGACCACTCCACCACCTTTTATAAATTCATTTAGTGGAACATCACCCAGGGGTATTTTTTCCAGCACAACCTTAATGTTTGACAGATCAACTGAAAATTCGACGTTTTTAAATAACAGTGAGAATAATGAAAATAATTATAGAGGTCGATCACGTTATACAATTGGATTTTCAAATTCATTAGAAACTGATGAACCAACTACTTATGCACCAAAGTTAAAATTACCATCAACTCAAAGTGACCCTGTATACAACCCAAAAAGAATAACAATTCCTTCAACTACTGCTTCTACAATAGCAGAATTATATAAAAGGAAGCAACCTCGTACGAAACCTACAACGCCACGGGTGTATGTTACAAGACCGCGTTCAAAATCACGTTTTGAGTTTGCAGCTCTAATATCTGATTCAACTGAACCACCTCTTTCAGAATATGGTTCTTCTACGGCACAAGCGACGTCCAAAAAATTGGAGGAATTAATAGCGGTTTTAGAAAATTTATCAACTGAATCATTACAAATGCCAAATTTAACATTTGGTTCAGATTATTTTAGTAAATTTATAACCAGTGAACCAAAAACTTATCAAGCAGAAAACGAAGCCGAAAAAGTAGTTGAAATTACAGACAGACCTGCTCAATTTTTTTCAAGATATCGTCAACTTGCTACCGAAAAATCATTAGCTAGTGCAATACAAACATCATACCAAAAAGAATCTGAAAGCAATTCTAACGCACAAAATGATAGAAATGATTCAGGTGAAGCGGAAAGACGTTTCGGAAAAAAATTCGGAATGATTGATTATGTTAGTAGTAAAAATTTTAAACCAGAACCAAGAATATCATCTTCAACACTAAGAGATTTCCAAATTCCAAGAAGAGAATATATTGAAGATATCACTGAGGCAATTGGTGGTACATTATCTATTGAAACTACACCATCAACGTATACCGAAATGACAACAGAACCATATTTAGCATTTATAAACACAACATTGACCGAATATTTGACAGAACAGTTAAAAAACTTGACATTACCTAATACAACAACAACAACATCGACTACAACAAGTGCGACATCAACAGAAAAATTAACAAATACGACATATCCAAAATTATTGCTCCCACCCCGCGCATCCAGAGTAAATAATGCCATCAAAACATCGATAGCTGCATCAAGTAGGAGTAAGGTGAACAATCAAAATGTGAATTCCAAATGTGCAGATAATACACCCAATGCCAAATGCAACGAAATACCTTCGAGGTACTGATATATTTTTTAATCACCGTTCGACTGGTGAATTACTTTCCTTTTTTGAGCTGAATTTCAAATAGCTATAAAAAAAAATAAAATTAAAAAATTTTATCAAAACAAAAAAAAAAAAACTTATTGGTTTTTTCTTACCATTTTTATTTTCTCTTAATTTTTAATGTCAAAATATTTTGTTATTCTAATTCTAATTTATTTTACTCGTTAATTTATTCGTGAATGCAGAACAAAACCACTGTTTAATTTTTAATTTGCAAACTTCATTCAATTATTTTCTTTTTATTTTATTTTATTTTAAAATTTATCGTATTGTAAATGTAAAATCATTTATTATTCCTGGTTTGTAATAAAAATTTCTAAATATATAAAAAAATAATTTTGTATAATTATGAAGACTTTCGGTGTATGTTATAAAAATATAAAGCAAACATAATTAAAGCAAAACTAATACTCGTAATACAGAAATTTTAAAATCATTTGCATTTCATTTAATCAAAAAACAAAAAAATTAAAATTTTTAAATTTATTGATAAAAATTTTTAATAATGTAGTAAGAATGGTTTTTTCTTTTCCTAAAATAATTATCAAATTAATTTTTAAAATATTAAACGATTAACAATCACAATAATTACAAGGTGATGGAATAAAAAATACAAAATTAAAATTAATAAAACAGTACACAAAATTATAGAAATAATTTATTGCATACGTTTAGGCGAAAAATAGTAAATTCACCATCATGATAATTATAACAAAAATCTCAACATACTAATAATAAGTAATAATAATAAACCATATACAAAAATGTATTAGAGAAATTTTTATACAAAATTCTCAATTTTTTTTTTTTTTTTTGCAAAACATTTTAACATTTTAAAATTTCTTCCCGGATTGAGAAAACAAGATTTTTTCTTTAATTTTATTTAAAGTGTTTATTATTAAAGTTATTTAAGTTTTCAAGTAATTATAGCAAAGTTATACATACTTGTGTATTTTACTTTCATACCTAGCAATTTCTCTACAATATTTTCTTATTTATTTCATAGTGTTGAATTTTGAAATTGCTCATCTTCGAATATTTAATTATTACTATAAAAATTAGATACATGCTTTTATAATTATATATCATGTATGTATAATTAAAATCAAACATATTACACTAACAGATATGTTTGAATACAATTAATGACAAATATTCAAATAAAATAAATAAATTCTAAATAATAATAGGAAGAAATAGAAGTACTCTAATTAGGTTGTAAGATTTAAAATTAATTGAATCATTTATAATATTGATTAAAATGTCAAATAAATTTACAAACCCTATACAAAATTAATATAGATTGGAAATTTAATATTATTCTTTTTATTTTCCGATATAATTTAAATAAATTTCTAAATATATTTAACAAATAGTATATATACACCATAATAGTCATTCATTATTATACAAAAGGTTTTTTTTTTAATAATTTTAAAGTAAAATATTAAAAATTTTCATTACAATATTATTGGTATAATATTTTTTTCTTTTACAAGTTAAAATTTTAACATAATTAATTTTTTATAGCTTCTTTTATTATTTTTTATACATCCATTTTTATTTTTTATAAATTGTAATAGTATATTTGTTTTTTTACAATAATATTACTATTATATTCCTTTTTTAATTTTTTATATACAGTATTTTGTAATGTAGCATGTTTTTTCTAATAAAATTAAAAAAAAAATATTCTGCACAGTTCGCGTTTAGCTCACACACTATATTAGTACTAAACTAAAATAAAAAAGAAAAATAATAAAATAAAATTCTATTTATTTAATTAATATCATTTTTATTTAATTAAAATTGAAAAACAAAAACTATAATATTCAAAATAATTTATTATAATATTTTGCAAATTATTATATAATTTAATAGCAAATAAAAAAAAAATAATATAGGTAATAATTTAGCAAAAATGGTGGAAATCTATACATACCAAATTTTAAATATAAAAAAAAAAGATTTGTGGTACTTTTTATATCTTACTTATATCATCATTGTGTATATAATATAGTTCATAGTGCTCTACAGAAGACAATCTTTGTGATTTTATAATAGAACAACTTTCTTGTGGGTGGCGCTATTTTAAATTAAAAATCTTAATATTCTCTAACGCCCCTCAAAAAAGTAGTTCATTTGTGAAGTTACAAAAATTGTCTTCTATATATCACTATAAACTATTTAACACAAAGCTCATATATAATAAATCACAACTGAAATATTCACAAATTGATAGTTAACAATCCTTAAATATTAACGTACATATATAATATATGAACTCATACATATATATATATATATATATATATATATATATATATATATATATATATATATATATGAATCATATCATATCATATATATAAATATATATATATTATGTATAACATAAATATTAACTATCACTTATTCGTATATTATTGGAATTGTTATAATCTTTCTGTATTACAATTCTATAGTATATACCTAAATAATATAATCACTCGTAAAATTGCATAAATTCAGGCAAAAATATAAAATTATCTCTTATAAAAAAATTCAAAATATTTTTTATTATTGCACCTTAAACCTTAATCACCACTGACTTTTATTTGATATATATAAAAAAATTACAATTAATTTCGTTTTTTAAAATATTTTCACTTTACTTTTACTTTTCTATATGTAAAATATTAATAAAGCTCAATTTTCACATATAATAATTATTAAAACAACAAAAAGATGCGCTAAATCAAATC